CTTGTATCCCAAACACATGAGAAAAAAATAGTAATATAAATGAAGATTTACTTTAAATTAATCTTAGGTACTAAAAACAAACGTTACCTACATAGTCACATGTATACTTGGATTTCTAGAAATCCCTATTTAATTTACCAAAATAAGTGTTAATTCTTCCGTTCACCCAATTCTTTTGAAAGCCTAATTACGCGAACTTATGAAATGAACTATAGTGTAATTTATATCAATGTTAACAGTTATTTGAATATAGATTAATTTCGATTAAGGCTTCCGAGGTTAGTAGTGTTCAACTTATATTACTACACATAATTTTTCAGTAGGTAAATATAGGTTGTTGAAAATACTGATTCGTTGAAAAGAAGAATTTACATTGTTTCTGGTACGATAAATCATAAATTTATTCAATACGCCTTACTTAAATTCATTGACATAGTGAAAGGTGAATCAGCCTCATTCTCAAATTAAGAAAGGAACTATCAAAATACTCTGGAGAAATTTAACGTGATAAATTGATAATTAGAGAATCTATTTTTTAGTCTCAGAGACTTCGATTCAAAACCTCCTTTGTTAATATTTAGTCCAAGTAGTCGATTAGTTCTAGTGATCATTTCAGGCAACATGGCATAACGGAAAACTAAACAGACGAACCTATGCCATCCAGATGGTTACAAAAATGAAGTGGTTTGTGTTATCATTGTTTTGATTAATACTTCGTTTTAGAAAAAGCTTTCGGCAATTTATATAACATTAAATCGATATAAAGTACTCAGATTTGGTGACGCGAGTACTGTTATATCTGCGGAATGTTAAATTGATTTGCGATTGATATGGAAACCGAGGATCTGACGGTTCATGGTGATAACACTAAGACGGGTGATATGAATTCATTAGTCCCATAAAAAAGGAATCATACTGATATCTAAATATACTACTTTTCATAAATTGATAATGACATGTATTTTGAAAATAATAAATATGGAATTCATGTCAGTTTACAGAAATGAGCAGCTCCATATAGAAATAAATGTAAAGTGTAGGGGGATTAGCATATTATATTTTATTGTTTAAAGTGTTCTAGTTCAAAGAATTTTTTAGGAAGTATAATAAACATACATATTACAGTATTGCAGAGTGTCAGTCATAAACTACTAATTATTATTAACTGGAAATCCTGTTGCTACTTGAACGGTGTATTTAGTCTTGTTTTCATTGCCATAATGCACTGGTTATAATCATTTACAACTAGAGAAAATAAAATGGAAACAATGCACAGGACAAAGAATGCAATATTTACAACGATAAGTTAGTCAGGTCTATCAGGTGTACCCTGATTCAGGAACGAGTTCACTTTATGATTTAGCGTTCGGGTTAGATATTACTCAAATTATTTAAATTTACAAGGAACAATTTTAATGTAGGGTAAGTAAGGAGGTTTAATTAGTAGGCTCAATTTCAAAAATGATCAGACATTTAGAGTTCCTATAATCTCACTTGTGAAATATTTACAGCTGTAAGCACAGTTAAGTGATTTTCTGAGATGTAAGTATCAATACAACGAGTAAATACTGATAGTGATACTGTTTCACGGATAAACTGACAAATTATTCAAGAGTGGCGAAAATGGATTGATGAAGTAATCCATATAGAGTAAAGGTTTAGAGTGAGATTGTTCGACTAATGTCAAAGAGTTATGAAAGCTCTCACCAGGAGTTCCAGCAGGCTGAATTTTTTGTTGTATGCAAAAGATAGTTTATTAAATATTTTGAAGAAAGATTAGATTTCATTTAAGTCTCCTCTTCCATAAAGGATTAAATCTAAGTTTATTAAACTGGGTTGGTAATTTAAGGTACAATCAGACCTAAAAATGCAATGTTTGATGCGTCTCTCTGAAGACTCAAGTTTGAATTGATCGTTTGTGCAAAACCCTACATAGAGAATAAAGATGTAGTATTCAAGTTGTTACCGGGCACTAACCTTGTACATCAAAATACTTGACTCATTAGTATACAGGCTACGAATTATGCAACCCAGGAGATGTTGAGACTTGGAGATATGTTTGAAGACCTGTTCCCAGAAGGAAAAATTATATTACTACTCCAGTCTTAAGTCAACTACTGTATGAAATATCGATAACACCATAGACTGAGTGAAGACACTTCAGCGCAAATCCATCCACATTTTACAGTGTTGAACTCCAGATTCCTCTGGGCTACTTCATTGAGCTCTATAGTTTTGAAAACTATTCAGCTTATGAGGAGCCCATTAATACACTACTTCATGACCATCTGCATGTAGGAGAGGCTTACCCATATAGAAGCAATTTCAAGCATCATTTTTATGAGCTAAAAGAACCACGGACCTAGGACGTTACCTAGTATTATCCCACTTTCGACTGGCAGAGCATCTAACGAAGAGGCCTTCATTTTGGTTATTTGTTATCGGTGACAGAGAAAAGAATTAAACCAAGCATGCAGAGGGTTTCTAATCTCTCAAGTTGTGAATTCGTCCATAAGAAGCTGTTGAAAGCTCTAGGAAAGTCAAAGTATAGCGCTCATATTAGGTGTCCTCGGTCATATTGAGTAGACTTATTTAAAGAAATCAAACTGTCATGTCGTACTAGATTAACATTCTGAATTTTCTAAATTGAACTGGGTAGGATTATCATTTAGTCAGTAATTTGCGATGTGAAGACGTATCTATAGCATTCTACTGCTCGTTTTACGTACTGAATTAATGTACACTTTTGAGAAAATTTACTTGTTAAGTGATTAATGATATAATACATATTTTGCATTATCTTGACAATAAATGTTGTCTACCGGAGTCATTTTTTTTCAAATTATTGATGTATTGATCTGTTCTTATTTATTTTTAAATCGATTTTTATCATCTTAAACGGTTTGTTTAAAGTGATACGAATTTTAGTTTGATGATTGTTATTGGTTAATTCAGAAAAAAAATAATACTCCTAGAGTGGCATCGTTTCTAAGTGTCAAAAAAAAATCAATAAATCATCCTCCCAAGAGTATAAAACTTTATGTTTTTGTGTATAGTATGACTAAACAATCTATGATACCAAATGAACATTTCATAAGTTTTGACTATTCTGAAGGTGTAGGACTACGATTGAAAAATCAATCTAATTATACATACTATAACATACTTAAAGTTTATTTTCTAAATTATTCCCAATTTGGGATGACTCAGTGGTTAACAGTTAGTCATGCATTGTCGTAAGGCTGAATTCCATTCAATAAATATATTGATTTGCATTGTAGTATTATGGAGATCGTGGGTTTTTTACATTGAAAGTATCAATGAATCACTGTTAGATTTCAATGTACAACAACGATCTCCATAATACATATTATAATGCTAAATCAAAAAATGTGCTCACTAAGAACTAGCTTCGTGAGGAAATCCTCAGAGTTCTAGTGAGAAGACGTGAGCAGTGGAGTTCAGCCCTGTTGGGTGTAAGCAAGAACTACCGAATACAAATGGGTGAGGTCGCGCAAAATGCTTAGGTTGATCAAAGTTAGACATTAACACCGTTGAATGCCGCCACAGTGGTCCGAAGGTTGGGCGTCCGCATAAAAGAACGGAGCTGAGTAGCGGGAGTCGTCTATGCGCACTGTTAATCAGTCTCATATCAGGACGAAACGGCTGTCCAGTGCTTCCAGGTTCCTAATACTGGTCTAACAATTATTCATTTATGATTTCGATGTAAAATACATTGCTGCATTCTTCAAGTCCGTAGATCTGATCTTAAACTATAATTCTTGCATAATAATCGAAAAATAACAAATGACTTGTAGTGCGTGTACTTTTATGTCGAGTCCACGAGTTTTGTCCCAACACTTCGGACAAATTAACTAACCCGTTCTACCCGAGTTGCTAATCATTCGTCTTTTGACCTTATCAACTATTCACTTTTATTTCGGTTGTTTCTATTTGAGTATGTGTGTGCACCGCTTAATTCTCTAATCACATGTCTGTCTTACTTTATCTGACAATGGATGTTTAGTCATGCTTCGTAGTAAGTTGGCTTGCCTGCCTTCTCCACTTCGCTTCAACTCTTTGTATTCTCCTGTCTGCGCGAACGATTGCCTGAAATAAACTTATTATGTGGTGTGAGCTACTTATAAGTAGTATATGACGTGAGTGTAAACGTAATGTCTGGCAGCATAATATGGAGGAAGATCAAGAAAGGAAGAGTTAGAAAACAATGGAATTTGTATGAAACGCATGAATAGTGACAATGGATTGATGTTTTGCAACAGGAACAGTCCAGTTCGATATGATGAACTGATATTTTGCAAATTAACGATTTACGATATGGTTTTCCAATTTTACTGAGTAACTCTGTAATTTTCGTTAAATACAATCCGGTTGCCCCACCTGTGTTCTCGTTCACTACAATTCAACCTAATCCTTATTTGGCTTTTTATTACCGCCTTCGCACAGACGGGGTTCGCCAAAGTATGATATAGAGAAACCGAAGGGGAGATTTATTTCATAGCATACTCCAACGTTTTTAAATAAAGGAGTCAGCGCACGGGCCACTAAAGTTTCAATGTTTTGAGATCTAAGCTTGATGGAGCAATGAGAAGTTTATATTAATGATATAAATATAAGACGGGAAAGATATAAGATAGTAAAATAACAAGGTGGTCATAATGTCAGCATAGAGAGTTAAATCAATAACGTCAAAATCCATTATTTCGAAACAAATGAGTGAATTTAAACCTAGTTTCATGTTGGTTAGCATCCAGAACAAAGACCTATGTATAATCTTAAGACAACTGATGGTGTTACACAGAGATTATGGTTTCCACTATTGATCATGAATAAAACTTTGGCGTTTGAATATTGGACATTGAAATATTCTGAGTAGAGGAAGTTTTATTAGATGTTTGACCAATCATACATTTGGACAATGATGATGATGATGATGGTGGTGGTAGAAGGTCCGACTTCATTGACTTGGTCTCAACAATTCAATTGCACTGATTATTATTATTGAAAGAAGGAATAAACTGTTCTAATTCGATGAATTCCGATAAAAGCTCTAGACTGGAAGCATTGCTAACTGATTGAGAGTTGTAATAATCAATATTATTTTCAGTAGTATTATTAGTAGTACCGTTCAATTCATTGTAAAAATCGTGATTCTTTTCGTTGATATCATCATCATTATTAAATTCGCTAACTAATGAGATATCCAAATTCATTGTACTTCACCACTCCTTTACAAACAACGTACCTCAGAGACAGTCCATTGAAATGTTAACTCATGCACCCGAGTTGTTACAATATAAATATAATTAATCTTATTCACTAATCAGACGACCTTAATTGTCACGAAGTGGATAATTTATTGATTAAAAGTTTAAGTTTAGAGAGAAAAACTTATAATCAAGTAATTAAACTGATTATATTTAATGAAAATTTAACTTTCCTACAAAAAATCAAATAAATCCTTCATATAACAACAAATTTAAAAAGATTGTTAATTTAGTGTACTTTTTTATAATAAGCACTTGAACAAGATTATTCGAAAACCAATTTTTAGAACAAGTATAAACTTGAAACATCCTTTAGAATAAAGACAGAATTTTCAAAAATGATAATAACAAAGTGAAAACAGTTCTATTGCACGATGTGTGAGATTTGGAAAACTACCATTACCACACATTTAGCAAAAATGATGAAATTTCTTCACAAAGTAAACCATAACATGGAATCCTCAAGGCTAAAGGAAATAGACAGACGAAAAAAAATACATATGGCTCCGAAAATTTGAGGCCAATATCAAAAGGATGAATGGGACTTGCTAAAAACCAGAAGAGAACCCAACAACAGAGTTGGTTGGATATTCTCCAAAAAGAGTAACACGTTTAAGTAGGTAAATGAAATATCAATCTACATATCCTCTTACTGAAGAGATCTGTCTATTTATGTAATGAAAAATGAGTAAATGAACTTCTCTAGAGAAAAAGATATTTTGCAAAATAAAACAAATTTTAATGTCAGTTGCAATTTGAGAATTTATCAATAGCAACAGGTCATTTTTTCAATAAATGAATTATTTTATTGGTCATACTCTGTTTATTAAATAACTTTGATTGATATTTCGTATAGTCAAGTTGGAAAATATTGTTCATGTTAAATGTGAATAGAAATGAAAACGCAAGTCATAAAAGACAAATTAACTAATCTATTTATGATATATTACAGATTCTTGTATTAAATAATCATAGTTAACGTCAACTTCAATCACTCACTCTCAAATTCTTCTCAAGATTTTTGTCATAAACTACTCAGTAAGAAAAAAGTTGTTCTACGTAAGTTCATAATATTATTCTATGCATTTATATTGATTATCGACCAATGCCTAGTACAAGTTAGACAATGGAAAGCCAGTCAATCATTTTAAAAAAAAATCTATATAAAATTTGTCATATATTTTGATCAGTTTGTCACATTTCATCTTAATAATGCTGAAAGGAAAGGAATAGAGTAGAAACAACGGTTATGAAACAAAATGATTTATCTAGAAATGGGATCATCAAGATACAGTAAGAAACATACATATTAATTAATTAATTCATTCTACACTGACCGCTTTTCATGTCATTGTCAAATACGTATATTAGTTATGCATGTCCGTTACTCTTTAAGGTTAGGATAGTGTACATTTCGTAAAGCTGGTCCAATCAAATATTGAATGTGAGAAGACTATGAGTGAGTATGGAGTGTCAATGTCAAAGCCTCAATAAGTATGTCAGTTAGTTATAGGTGTGTGTACGTAATATGGAGGTGATTTACCTTACAGTATATGAGAGGTGACCTAGATTAGATGAACGATCACAGTAACCTTCACAGACTTGAAGGTCTCAGGTACCACGTGTCCTTGATAAGGCAAGTTTTTACGTTTCTATAGGAATCAATTTCTTCTAGTTCATTTATACCAGGTAATACCTCATATCTTGGCAGGTGATGGTTAGACATAGTACCTTTAAATTCAAAATTATATTCATTGAATATATATTAAGGTGTGTGCACTATTTTTGATAGATTTGATGAATTTTCCGTATAAGGACTTGAAATTTCTTGAAAGGAAAACAAATTGATGAGATGTCAAATTATTGATAAAAACCATGCTTTACATTTTGTTTAATTACGTACTTACATGTATAATTACAATACATTCTGAGACAAGTTAGTACCTGTTAAGAATTCAAAAAACACTGAATACAAATTCGACGATGAAATAATGAGTCATTACCAGTCAGTTGGTCATTTCTATACTGATTAAATAAACTAACAATTGAGTTCTTTTGTATATTTTGCATACATGTGATTGGTTGCATTGTTTATCTCTCTAGTTATGTACATGAATGTGTTTATAAATAAAATTGTTATCATTTTTGTCAACTACAATAATACTATTATTACTATTCCTTCGGTCTTAGGTAAAATGTGAAATTACTGTCGAAGGTAAAGTATGCATATCAATTCATATCATATCAGGTATTGTAAACTTGATTTAATAAGACTTGAAATATTATTATTATTATTACTATTATCTCTACATCTATGAAAATGTTTTGTTAGTGAGAGAGTAATCAATGCAGTTGTGGTGTGTCGATTTACTGCGTGTTCCTAAGCTCGGTACATAAATCAGAACATGAACTCGTATTGATGAATACGTTTATTCGGGACACACCACAAAGCGAAGCGAATCGGAGAAGGCTAAGAGCCAACTCTTTGGATTACAATGCGAGCGAATGGGCGAAGCGAATTGGAGAAGGCTAAGAGCCAACTCAAAGAGATAGAGTATGACTAAGAATATATAGTCGGATGAAAATAAGGCAGACATATGACAAGCAAAATAGGTATTTACAGACATGAATAAAAGCGACGATTGATTGACAAGGTCAAAAGCGAGCGATACAAATCATGTGAGTTCATGGGGAAATTAAGAGGTTAACATTAAAGCGAAAAGTATGAGTAAGCGCGTAGGCGTAAACAATGCTCAGTCGTACAAGCTCATACAAACCAGATAATAAAAAATACCAAAGGTACATATGGCTTGTTGCTATACAAATGGCTTGGTTAAATAAATTAATCGAAAGGGCTTAACCAAGTTAGATGTAAGCGAACCGGAATATAAGTGGAGGCACTACACAGTTACAATACTTGATATTTTCGAAAACTTTACTGTCTATTTATTGTAACCGATGTGTTGCATAAAATGGTGTAATTTTCAATGGGGATTGTATTTCATATTTTTTAAATCTATCTTCTATATTTTATTCTCTTTGAAAATGCTACAGTAGCGCATTCAAACTTCTTGTAAAGGAAAAGTAAATAAAGGGAAAGTTAAATCTTGAAATAAAATTTCATCTATTGGAAGATAGATTTGTGTTACGAATTCATGGACATGTGTACCCTATTCGCGTTTCACTAAACTAAATTAGTTAAAATAGATTATTTCTGTTTTACATTTTCGTTTAATATACACTTGAACTCATAACATAAATAATACATCCAAGTAATAAAAGCTATGCAAGAAGCATGAAACAAAACAACCACCACAATAACAAATAATTCAACTTACAAAAGTTTTACACACAGAAAGGATTCTTCAAAAAAGAATACTTCAATCTTTGTAAAAGGTCAGTTCATGTTGGAAATAAAATGAAGACTACTAAGGGGAGGGAGAGGATATAAGGAGAAGTAAATTAAGTGTGGACATGGAAACTATCCAATGTAACTGGTTTAAAATGATGAATAAACAAATATATAGAATCAATATAAAAAATTTCTATGTTAAAGTGAGCATGTTACATTTCGTTTGGAAAAGCAGATTTACATGTGTGAATTTTCTACTTTATCGTTTTTGAGAGGAAATACGTTGACTAGTATAACTAAGTTTCCATATAGTAATTTTGAATCAGTGAAATAGATGATTTCTAAAAAAGATAAATACTTATGTAATTCTTAGTATGTAAAATACTTAAAAGCATAGAGTTTTACTGTTTTGACGTGTTTTTCGGTACTGCTGACATATACCGGCTTCATAATATTTCAATATTTCCGTTCAGGAATTTCTAACGATTTCCTGCAACCGTCTAACATTGACTGCCCGCTTCGAGTCATTAGCATTAGTGGATACATTAGAAGTTGGGTAGATGAATTCAATGAGCACATTCGATAATTATGGTCAATTTTGTTAGTTATGAAATGAATCATGTTTCTGAACAGAATGAGGGACAATTAGGCGTGATTAATATATGTATTTCTGAAACCATGAATTGACCAATGTTAGACCACCATTAGAAACCTGGAAGCACTGGAAGGCCGTTTCGTCCTGGTATGGGACTCCTCAGCAGTGCGCATCCACCACTTCTGCACCCCGCAGGATTCGAACCCAGGATCTTCGGTATTGTGCGCGAACGCCCTAACCGTTAGACCACTGAGCCGGTGTCCAACGGTGTTAATGTCTAACTTGATCAAATTCACGGAGTTGCGCAACCTCATACACATTCTTCGGTAGACACTGTCTACACCCGAACAGGTTGAACTTCACCGGTCACGTCTTCCCACTAGAACTCGGAGAAGATTCCTCACGAAGCTAGTCACTAGTGAGCACAGGTAATTTGCATTACGGGGTTGTGAAGATTGTTAAGTTACACATTTTTGAAACCATGAATTGATCAATGTTAGACCACCATATATGTATTCGTTTGCTACGACGTTCAGGATAGAGTTCCAAGCTAAAATATCAAATATAACTTCAAAACAAAACAATTAAATCAATGATAAATCTAATACAATCTCTTATTTTCCCAGAAAACTAATAAATTAAAAATGTGCTCAATCGAGAAAATGTATTGGGTTATGAACTGTTATTTTCCAATATCTGATTACTGATTTTTTTTAAATGTTTTTCCCAATATACCATGAATTTTTTTATTTGGTGTATAAAAATTACTAAAACATTGGAAATCTTAACTATATGATTCGAAACCAATAGTTCAAAGGTAATGCACTTATAGCCGAATTTTAAAAATCCTGAATTCAGTCTGCTAGTTGGCTATGCTATTGAACTTCGTAATTGAATGAAACAATGAAATATTCAGTAATTATTAGTTTTCACTAATTGTCTGGCTAAATTCATTTGACTACATACACTCTCATTTCTAGGTGGCTGAAGGTAGGCGGT